ATGTCCGAAGATTGAAACCTAACTCAAATATTTTCAAATCGAAAAAGGTCCAAATATACCCCTGTACTAGAGAAAAGATTAGTTCCAAAGATGTTTCTGTCATTATACTATTGGTTCAAATATACCCCTCTTTCATTAAGTTTGTCTAAGTTAAACTTCCAATCTTATCTGGCACTGACATTTGGTGAGGTGGATGCAACGTGGCATGCCATCTCTGTGCCCCTAACACATTTCACCCCTCCCTTCCATTTTTTTCCACCACTAAAATTTTCTTCCCCTTCACCACCATTGCCACCATTACCGCCACCATGAACAATATTGTATTTCAAAGTTTAGTCTTTTATATATATTTGTTTCTTCATTCATCGCTCGCATTGGATTCGATACAACCCTAAGCTTCTCGAATTTTAGGTGAAGTCTCTTCCTCGAGAAACTAGATAATGTCTTTATGTACTACTAGTATGCATGATACTGGGATGACGAATTGAAGTATTATTTTGCAGACTCGGGTGCGCAAAGCATTTACAGATGGTACTGTTCAGATACTCCGATATGGTCTGAGTTGACTAGCTGAAAATTCAATATTGTTCTTAGTGGTGGTTATGATGGCAATGGTGGTGGAGAGAAATAAAATTTTAGTGGAAGAAAAACAAATAGAGGGGAGGGGTAAAATAGGTTTGGGGCGCGGAGGTGGCATGCCATGTGGCATCCACCTCATCAGATATCAGTGCCACGTGGTATTGGATGTGCATCTTGGACAAACTTAACAGAAGAGGAGTATATTAAAATTTATAGTATTATGATGGAGGTATATTTGGACCCAAAATGTCACGACCCAAGTTCTCTCTCCGTGAACTGTCGGGACGGCACCTAGTCTCTACGACTAGGTAATCCTAACAATTTGCGGAAATGAAACAAGATACGAAAATTAACAATTAACATGTAAATATAATAAAGGAGTTTAAAATGCCGCTCGGCATATACCATAAAAACACTCTCGAACTGAATATAAACACTCCCAAAACCTGGAATCTCATGAATCACAAGTTACAGAAGTACATAGTGTTTCTAACTCCAGAAATCTAACAACGAAGAAAATACAGGAAGTCTATAGCTTAAGGAGGAATAGAGAGGGACTTCTAGGTCTGCGGACGCGGCAGATATACCTCGAAGTCTCTGAGATCACCTCGCCTCACTGGAAGTATGGCTGAGAAGAAGTACCTGGATCTGCACACGAAAAACATGTGCAGGAAAGGGCATGAGTACACCACAGCGGTACCTAGTAAGTGCCAAGCCTAACCTCGGTCGAGTAGTGACGAAATTAGGTCAGGGCTTTACTGGTTTATACATATATTAAGATAAAACAGTATGAAATATCGCAGTAGAGTTAAAAATGCTAACAGTCAATGAAAAATGAAATCACATGAACAAATAACTCAGTACACAGAGATAACAACAGGGGATCTCCGAGATACCGGCCCGTAGTCCCAAACGTAAATGTACAGAGGATCTCCCGGGATACCGTCCCATAGTCCAAATCGTAAATGTGCAGGGGATCTCCTGGAATACTGTTCCGTAGTCTCAAAATAAATATCCAGTGCAGGGGGATCTTCCGGGATACTGTCCCGTAGTCCCAAACATAAACATACAGGGAGATCTCCCGAAATACCGATCCGTAGTCCCAAAATAAATATACAACTCATTCAATGTACACAACAGTTCTAGCTAGGAAAGATCTACAGTTCTAATCAAGTTCGTAGCAAAGAAGACGGGTAATTCTTACTCTAAACATGCTTACGCAGAATCCAGGTAAATCAATTAAAGCAAATAAGGCAGTTAAGGCACGTAAGCATGCTTTCCTAATCTAAACAGGAGGCGACATATACTGGTATTGCTCAATTAAAGGAAAACATAGATATTTACTTAATGAAAACGGGGTTTTTCAACAATTAGCATGTGTACGCACTCGTCACCTCACGTACACGGCATTCATATAACAACAGTACCAAAATCCTAAGGGGAGTTCCCCCACACAAGGTTAGGCAAGCCACTTACCTCGAACCAAGCTCAAAATCAATCCGAAATCACGCTCTTGCCATGAGTATCCAACTCCGAGTGGCCCAAATCTAATCAAATCAATTACATTACGTAAATATAGCTACAAGCAACTCACTTAACTAATGAATTCAAAGCTAAGGCGAAAAATGCCCAAAAATCCTCCTCGGGCCCACTCTCGGAATCGGGTAAAAATCACAAATTATGAACACCCATTCACTCACGAGTTCACTCGTACAAAAATCATCCCAATCCGACGTCAAATTCCTATTCAAAACTCAGATTTTCAATTGGGGAACTTTTTCCCCCATTTCCAAACTTCCACTCTCAAATTCCTTAATTAGATAAGGAAAACAACAATAGATTAATGTATTAGGACCAAATTAGAATTAGAATTCGTTACTCAATAGTTCTCCTTCAAAATCCCTCAAGAAATCGCCTCCCACCGAGCTCCAAAAGTCCCAAAATTGAAATGGGATAAAACCCTCGATTTGGCCCTTTTTCTGCCAGAGATCTCGCTTCTGCAAGGGGTGCACCGCATCTGCGGTCCTGCACCTGCGGAAATATCATCGCAGGTGCGAAGGTCACTTATCCGGGCTAGGGCCGCATCTGCGGTCACTGGGCCGCATCTGCGATTCCGCATCTGCGGTCCCCCAGCCGCACCTGCGGTTCCTGTTTCCTTGGTCCATTTCCGCTTCTGCCACTACCCAGCCGCTTCTGCGGCACCGCACCTGCAATCGCACATCCGCATGTGCGATTATATCAGGTTCAGCAAACTTCAGAAAATGCCTAAGTCCAAATCAAGTCCGTTAAGCATCCAAAACTCACCTAAGGCCCCCGGGACCTCAATCAAACATACCAACCAATCCTAAAACATCATACGAACTTAGTCGATCCCTCAAATCACATCAAACAACGCTAAAACCACGAATCACCCTCTAATCCAAACCTAATGAACATGATTTTCCAAAATTCTACAATCGATGCCGAAACCAACCAAACCAAGTCCGATTGACCCCAAATTTTGCATACAAGTCATATTCAACACTAAGGACCTACTCCAACTTAAATCGGATTCCGACCCCGATATCAAAAATTCCACTATCGGCCCGAAACTCTAAAAATTCAACTTTCGCGATTTTCAAGCCTAAATAAGCCACGGACCTCCAAAATACAATCCGGACACGCCCTACGCCCGAAATCACCCAACGGAGCTAACGGAATCGACAGAATTCCATTTCGGAGAAGTCTTCTCACTGTTCCGACTACGGTCTAATTCTAAGACTTAAACTCTCATTTAGGGATTTAGTTTCCCAAAACACTCCGAAACTCAAGATGAACCATCCCAGCAAATCACAATAGCATAAAAAATCACGGGGGAAATAGTTAATAAGGGATCGGGGCATTAATTCTCAAAACGTCCGGCCGGGTCGTTAAACAAAATATAACGAGGGGTATATTTATACATTTTCTCATATTACAGTGATATATTTGGACCCAAAATATAACGAGGGGTATATTTAAATATTTTCTCATATTACATAGATATATTTGGACCTTTTCCGTTTTTAAATTTGAGCGTAGCTTCTAGGAAAACACTACCAATATGAAGATATTTTTTTTAGTATCTTGGTACCTCTATAGCTACAGTTGTGTTTTCACATATAACCAGGAAATAGACTTGTAACGATAGACTTGTTCACTCACTCCTTTTTCTAATTTTGGTATATGAAACGCTTAACTCTTTTGGTTAGTTGGCCCGTTTACTAATAGATAACTGGTGTATCTTTAAGGAAAGATATTCTTTTGATATTTTTTAGTACCTCTATAGCTACAGTTGTGTTTTCACATACGGAAAAGGACCATATACGCCAGTGAATTACGCGAATTAGGACAGATATGCCCGTCGTTAATGGTTTGGCACATATATGCCCAATCTGTCCAATACTTGCTCATTCATGCCCTTAGTTTAACGGACTATTTTGTCTTTCTTAAATAATTAATAACCCGACCAAACCAAAATCTACTGACCCGATCCGTTAGGACCCGACCCACCCTTATTTCAAAGATATTTTTTGATATATTATTTTTGTTTGATTGAGAAATTGTGTATTTATTTATGTGAGTAATTTGATAATCGTTTTTTTTGTTATACAACATTTCGGAAAGTAATCCTACTAAAAGTAGTAATTGATATTTATTTATTATTTTAATAATATAATATTTGAATTAGGTTATGCTTTCTTCAAGCATTTTACCATCTATTTTTATTTTTCTCAGTGGTGCTTGTTATGAAATAATTAATTAATAAAAATAAAAAAGAAGCACCACTATTTAAAAAATTTATTAATTATTTCATAAATAAATTTGTAATGGAGAAATAATCCAATAAACTAATATTCAATCATATAATGATCACTTATCTAAACAAAAAAACGGATCCATCAAGTTAAGTTATAGTGAACATGGAGTTATTCGTATTTGTATTGGTGAAAAATACAAATAGACTGTGAGAAAAATAACGATAGATGGTAAAATGATTGAAGAAAGCACAAACTAATTCGAATATTATATTATTAAAATAATAAACAAATATCAATTACTACTTTAGTACGATTACTTCCCGAAATGATGTATAACAAAAACAAATCGATTATCAAATTAACTCAAATAAATAAATATCATTATCACACAATTTCCCAAATCAAACAAAAATAATATATCAAAAAATATCTTTGGAATAAGGGTGGGTCGGTCATAACGGATCGGGTCGGCAGATTTTGGTTGGGTCCGGTTATTAATTACTTAAGAAAGACAAAATAGTGGTTCCGTTAAACTAAGGGCATGAATGAGCAAGTATTGGACGGATTAGGCATATCTGTGCCAAACTATTAACGACGGGCATATCTGTCCTAATTCGCATAGTTCACTAGCATACATGGCCCTTTTCCGTTGAATCTTTCATACTTAACATAAAATTCAGCATTACACAAAACATGGTTTGACTGTCATTTTTGTTGCCCACATAATTAAATAATACTTGTATGTGCTATGCAGGAATCTATGTATTATTTTATTATGCTGTATCAAAAATGCAGAGTAACAACCACAAGCTATTACAATAAGCAAAAAGTGATCTTGAGATGTTCTCTTCTTCATTCCAGAAAGCCCCCTTGTTTGTAACTTTCAACTGAATCAATTAGAGTTTCCTCCAGTGGCCTATATTGCCAACCCAACTTCTGCAGTTTCTCTGAACTATAACTTCCTTCCTCCATCAAATCAGTAAAGCTGTAAAATAAACAGTACAATTCAGGACAACAGATTTAATTGAGGAACTTCTATGCACAAGTGTAACAGTACACCCAACTAGTGACATGCCCGCTTTGAACCTAGGGTTGCACGGCCTTAAAACGCGTCGCGTCACTAATGCCTAAGGGTTGTTTCCTTATATATCCAGCATCTCGCCGGTTAAGACGTTTTAAAGTCGTGCGGGCTTAGGCCCAAAACAGACAAGTGAGGAACTTCTATGCAGAAGGACAAGAAGACTACTTATCAATAGACTCAATCAAATAGACCAAATTCATCATGCACTTTTTCCTTTGTAACTTCTTAACCAAACGCATCACGCACTGGAAAAAGGAATCACAATCCCATAAGAGAAGTCGATTTCGTTACGCCGCTTTTTTGTAACTCTTAAACCAGACACAGGAAATAGGACACTAGATTCCGATAAAGAAGCCTAAGGTAGAATTGGAGAGAAATTCACCATTTAGGATAGTTGTAGTTGGGGTAGTGTCTCTTCAGCATGTCAACCAAATCCTGTGATTTCACTTTATGAGCCGTGCATATGTATCTACCTTCAGCTTCAGGTCTCTCATATACCAGCACCAGAGCTTCAGCTAAATCACGTACATCTATTATAAATCGGCTCTTGTTTTCCAGCTCTTCATATCCTTCTATATGAATGACACAAGAGCGTAGGCAGGGAGAGGTCAGTCACTTCAAGTGAAAAAATGAAAGAACCATGACCATGAATCCATATACATGAAAACACAGAAACAACACATGAAGCCATTAACATAAGAAAATGCAAAGCAACTCAGATGATACAAAAGCGGATAGACTTTTGTAACCGAGACTAATGTTCTCTTTTATAACCAAGAAATTCTAGAGGGCTAGTGGCACACAGTTCAAAACTTGATCGATGATGCGCCTGCCTCTCTACCCTTTTCCACTTAAATAGTAGGCTCTTGTCTGCAGCAGGCTCGAACTAATGACATGTGTCTAACCCAAACTCTGCTCTTACTCCTAGACCAAAGTCCTGGGAGCTACATAGAAATTGACATGCATTAACATTAAACACAATGCTTAGTAGCCCTTGGTGCATAGTAGCTGGAGGACTTTTATCTAAACAGGCAATACACTCGAGAATTCATAGCTAAAGCCATGCTTGAAACACTAGAGTAGAAGGATGATAAAGCACCTGAGGATGCTTGTAACCAAAACTATATCACAAACTGGCCTACTAAATTTTATCAAATGACCAATATATATTTCTTTATTTTTTTTATTTTATAGATAATAAAGAAAGTCTTCTGCAATTTACATAAAAGGGAAATGGGGACGTGATGCTGTCTCTTTGTCATAATAGATAATTGTGCAAAAATAAATTGGTCAAAGGGAGTATATAAACTTCAGACGAGCCAAATATGGTAACTTAAGCTAGAGGGGCGTCCGGCAGTTGTCCAAAGCATCTGGGGGTATAAAGTGAATGTATAGATAAGGAAGAACCCCTTAACTAGTGCGTGGAATTCAACATAATTATTTTATCTAAATGTTATGGACGAAAAGTCCTAGCTACCACCAACCAACATATTAAGCATAAAAAACTACTATAAACTTGAGCAGTTGAGCTCAGTCTCATAAATACCATGCTAAGGTAGACATGCTACCAAGCTGCAAAGCAATTCAGGTTAATCCAGCTACATGGACAAATAATATTGTAGAAATTTTCACTTGTAGCTTAAATGATATGCCTTAAAGATAACTAGACAGCACCATTTTGCATTCAATGATCTCTTACTCATTGTCAAGCACCATGTATTTTGGAGAACCAAATGTCAATATGACAAGACTTGTTATAGTTACACATGTAAATCATTTTGAGACTTTTAAGCATTGGCAATGAATTTAACAAAACTGCATGCTGAACACATGTCTTGTGGGAAAAGTGAATTCTGTTTATTTACCAATGAGCAACTCACGCAAGCAGAGATGTAAAATAGAAGTAATGCAGAAACATTAAACCAGTGAGGTATAACTATGCCTTGTTGGGTACCTTTCAGCAGCTTAATGAGAACCAAACTACTGGCATTTGTAGTCCTCTGCAACATTGGCCCCAAAACAAGTGTTGGAAGCACAGTTATCATATCAAGTCCAGTTTGTTTTGCATATGACCAAGCTTCTTTCTCAGCCATCGTCTTAGAAAAACAGTACCAGTTCTGCATGCATGTGGAACCACAAAACAATCAGATAGGAAACTGCTCTAGCAAAATGAGCATTCAAGATTCAAATCTGAAATTCTCACCAAAACTAAGCCAATCAGACAGGAAACTGCTCCAGTAAAAAAAGTATTCAAGATACAGATTGTAAATTACTTTACCAACACTGAGTATTCAAGATACAGATTGTAAATTACTTTACCAACACTGAGTATCATACTAAGAAACATGTAGATTATTAACTAAAATCTTAAAATGTCCACAGATCAAATTCGTAAACTTGTATCAGTAAAGAAGTTACATTAGTTGCTTTGCAGTATTCACTGTCCGACCAACAGGTCTCGTCTTTCACTTGGCCCTTCGGCCAGTTGGGGTTCAAGGCAGCAGCAGCAACAGAAGATACAAACACAACTCTCTTGATGTTTGCTTCAGAGCATGCCTTCAGAACATTAAGTGTGCCTTTTACTGCAGGCTCAACTAGTTCTACCTGCAATCAAACAATTGAACATATGAAGAAGATAATTTATTTGTGCAGAACTAGAGCACAGTGGGATTCGTTATTTCCAAAACCAAACTAGAAATGCAGATCGTTTGATCACAATACAATGTATCCTGGATGGACCTGATTTTCCAATGTCTAAGACTCCAAATGGAGGAGCTCTATAGATAGCGTCTCTTATTATAAGAACTCAACTGGTCAAATTCAAATCAAGTGTCTCCTTTTGATGAATGATCGAAAGAACCACTTTAAGTAATGAATATTATTCAAATATTGAGACGAAAGAACTCCTTTGCTATCAGAATATCCAATATTTCGAAAACAATTCACTGATTACCCATAGTCAGGAATAGAATAATTGAGGGAAAGATATTACGATGATAAAAAAATGACTGGCAAAAGATAAATTGGCGAATCTCTGTTGAAAAACTTTTTTGAATAGTACTTTGTGTAATCCCAATATAAATTCACCATCTTGTTTTTCATTCAGTCGAAATATACCTCAGAGCACTTTCAACAACTAATAACATGTACTAAAGATCAATAGGCTAGACTACTCGTGAGTCATGAAGATTCCACTTTTACCTGGTAGTCATAAAGTAAAACCAGAAGATGTGATTCATATTAACAAAGTGAATAAGCTGATAATCTCTTAATTCGTGGAGGTATGTAAAAACTGGACACTGGCCATGTTGGTTTATTAGTTTACTCTGTTTTAAATGTTTAGGGAACCTAGTTTTCTTCTACATGTGGTCACAAGAAAAAATTTAACAGGTCATAGCAAAGTCACACCTCGGGATTTGGTACAGAGCTTGAAGGGACGGGACTAGCAACGTGAAATACTCCATTGCATCCTTTGATGGCTGCAGCAAGCGAGTTGTAATCTAGCAAGTCTGCCTTGAAGAGTTTTAGGTTCTCAGCAGCTTTGTCAAGGTTCTTCAAATGAGCATACTTGTCATCAGCTGCAAATTGATTTACAATGAGGCCTCTTCAGAAATTTTCAGCAGAAACTAAAAAACCCCTACAATTTTAATTATTATACCATGTTACCAAACAAGAACGATGTTTTCTATTTGGGCGCATTGGATGTATGAAAAATATGCTACCTTTTGTTTCTCATAACACAGTTAGTTTCTTCAATGTTATCAGCAGAAAGGATCATGAGTAGAGGACAAGGGGGGAACACAGCAAGCGAAAGGATGAATCAACTATAAATATCTCTGAAAATCTAGGTATTGCCATAAGATATAATTTACAGCCGTTCTCAATTCAGTTCTCAAATTATTCAAGTCAATCGAAATTCTCCTTTAAAAAAAAAAAGATATTTTGATTGCAAAAATTGGTGCAACTGTAAGTATTAGGTCAATATATTCCGCCTTACAAGAATAAATTGAAATATTTATAAATGATCAATAAAGCCGACTCAACTAATTTGGAATAATTGATTGCTTGCTTGAAAGTTGAACCAATTTCTTAGGAATATTCACCTAGAGGCTAGAACATTCGGTTGAAATAAAGGGCTCCTTCCCAGCTGAGGCTCCTAACATATACTCCGTAGTTTGAAAACTAAGAACAGTTCTAAAACACAACTGACAATCTTGTCGAAAAAAGTTTTTACCTTTCTTTTCAATACTATTACATATATTGAAAAGTAGAAAAATAGGAAATAAGGATTTACTTACAAGGGTTTCTAACGGTGCCATGAACGGTGTAGTCTTTAGAAAGGAGAAGCTTAACTAGCGACGTAGCGACGTAGCCACCTGCTCCTGTTACACACACTCTGCATTTCTCCCCCATCAACGCCATCGCTCTCTGCAATTATTTATTTCCCTTTTCCGTTTCCTTTCTCACTGCCACTCTTGTTGCATTAGGATTTAGGACCATTCACACTATAGTAGTACTCTACTTTCCTTTTTATTCTCTTCCAAAACAAAAACACACATATTTTTAAATTTGAAAATAATTCAACTTTAAACTCTTTTATTTTACCCATTTATCTTTAATGAGTAGCTTTTATAGCCACACAAATATCATGACCCCACAAACTTTTTATCCCTTAAGCTTTTAAGATCACAAGTTTCAAAAATATTTTTTAAATATAAAACCTAATAACCATATTACTAAAACTGGAAGTGTCTCGAGTTCCTAGTGTACCTTTTTTTTTGTAGTTTTAGAATTTTACTTCCCTAATGTCTAGTATGAGTGTTCTCTCGTCTTACCAATTTTCTATTTTGATGAATAACAAGGAACATGAAATAATTTGATTTTGGACTCGCACTTATATATGGAAAAAAAGAAAGAAATGTATTTACTCGCATTACAAATTATTTACTCCTATTAAAAATTTACTCTTATTACTTATTTACATCAAATTATATGTCTTATATTTATATTTTTAACACTTATCCATCAGGAAGTGCATGGATTAAAAACATTTAAATAACAAATCTAACCTTCATAATTGCAAGCAAACTTATATCTTGGTTGAAAAGTTATCATATACTTTTAATTTTTATGTTTATACTAGTAGTTCGTTATAACACATCACCTTTAGATACAGTCTCATATCGTCAAAACATAAGAGGGATGCTAGGTATATAAGTTAACAAGCTTTAGACTTTAGTGACGTGTTTTAAACATGTGAGGGCCTAATGTTTGACCAAAAAGTGTTAAACTCTTTTTAGTTAAATTAATTTAAATGAATGGATAAGGGGTAAATCCTACTCAAAGATAATTGACTCTAGATTAATGAATGATAAATAAGAAGAGTTGTGTAAGGTTAGGCTCATGAACTCATTAAGATAATGGAAAAAAAATCTAATGTATATGATGAGCTTACATTCATTCGTGACATTGTTAATCCATATTGTAAAATAGAGAATAAAGAAAGAATTCACCATTAATGACCACGGGGTGTATCTTTATTTATTCCATAACAATAGCTACAGAAGATGAATAGCAAAGCTCTGAACCTTCTCTCATCTTTTAGATGGATTCTCCTATTCACCTCTTTTGTTAGTGAAGAAGTGTGTGATTTGTACGAATTTTTCTTCCTTAGTTCTCTCACCTAGTATATATACTAAGTATTCTCCTTTACACAACGGTCATTAGCCAGAGTACCTCAGCCCCTTAACTGTGTTACAGTTTGACCCTCTGAAATGTTGTAACAACCAATTCACTGTACAAGCATTCTGAGTACACGACCTCGACCGTGGCCGAGGTGCTTGTCGCTATAGCTTTATACGAATGCGACTTCGGCCCAAATGACTGTCGTTCCTCTTTCCGTAAATTCCTGTTTGGTCAGATTTCGACCCACACAGTTAGTCCCTCCGCCTATTGAGGTCGTCTTTTGGCGAGCTTGATGGGCGGACTCTGTCGATTCGAAAGTTGTGACAAATCTGAGCGCTTTGTGCGAGAGGCGAGTACCCCGTCACGAGGTAGCGACGTGACGTTTCGAGAGCTGTATCAGACTGTCACGTCTGTTGATACCCAATTTTCCCCTCATATTTTTTTAAATGTATATATACTTTCAAAATAGTATATTTGCATCATCATTTATCTATACATGCATTTTTTATAATTTTCCCTAATTTTTAGAGCTTTAAAGTGATTTTTCTGCATTTTAATTACTTAAATAATTATTAATTATTCCTTCAAATTATTTTATGATGACTTAATCATTCAGATTACTATTGTGCATCCTCATATATGTTTCATAATATTTTTATTTTATTGCGTATAATTATGTTTGCAATTTTTAGCTATTTACCTGATTTCGCAATAATAGCCTATATTCATATATAATTTCTCTTTATCTATACTATTTGTGTCAAAATAGCCTTCTATAATATTATAATGCTAAATTATTATTGTTAATTATTTTATTGCATAAATAACATTTTTTTATTTATTAAAGTATTTTTTATAAATTATTTTTGTTAAATTTGTATTTAAATAATAGCCCATTTTTAAAATTAAATTCGGACCTAAAACTACCCAACACTTAATACCCTAGCCCAAAACCCCCCAGCCCAAATCAATTATCCCAAAACCAAAACCACCCTTTTTAAAACGACCCGGTCGGGACCCGTTTTGTATGACCCGCCCATCTTCCTTCAATCTTGGTTGTTGATCTCAGAGATCAATGGCTCACAGGCCAGCTCCCCTTTTAAATCCATTTAACCTAAACCCTAACCCCATTATCCCATTACCCGCCGCCTCTAAACTCTCTCTGTCTCGCCTCTCTGAAGAACCATAATCGCCGCCCTTCACCAATCCCCCTTTCTAATCCCGCTAGCCATGAGATTCTCCCATTATTTACTTACCATATTAGTTTTCCTCCGTTGTTGGGTGTTTCTCCATGGTATTACTTAGTATTATGGTATGAGTCTGACTATTATGGTTGTATGTTGTTTCTGCTAGTGTGTTTGGATAATACCTTAACTCTATGAAAATCCCCTTTCACTTGAATGAATTCCTTACTAAGTCCTGTGCTCTAAACTTGTTTCATGCCATCTTGTTTTTTTTTTAAAGACAAACACTATATTTTGATAACTAGGACCTTACTCCTATGTCGACATGTTTTCAGTAATGTTTTGGTGCATTTGCCATTCTTTCCTTTCTGTAATCATCAATATGTGTATCCCTTCATTATGTCCAAGTACTGAGTAACAAGGCATTAGATTAGACTTAACCTAATTTAGACCTTTAATTGTCAACTAGTCCAATCTATGTTTTGCAAACCTGTTTATTCTCCTAACTCCTATGATGACTAATTATGTGGCACTTTGATTATGTGAACCTGGCTTGAATTTGCTGGTCTACTTGACCAGTTGTGCTGTATGATCCTTCTGGAAATTTCTGTCCATCCTCCCTACCTGTTACTTTGGTATTCTGAATCCGAATTCTTAGCTGGCTGAAAGCCAAGGTGTTGGCCCAAGAACAGGTGAAGTTTTGAAGAATGACAACTGAACTCAGTCATGGACCAGGTCCATCGTGTAAAACACAGTCATGCTCAACCTATACATATGAGATGCACGTGAAGGAGATAAGTCCTACTGATCAAGCAGCAATATCTTCTGATCTGATCGAAAAGGTTGCATATTGGATAAGGGGAGAAAGTCTCCTTATATGAAGAGAACACAATTCGGATAAAGATAGTGTTGGAGTTTGAGATCTTCGAGGACTCAACTACGATAGAAGATCAGCAATTGAGTCCCAATCAAACTCTGATTACTAACCCATTAAAAGACAGTGATTGTTCTCTTTTACAGGTATTGCACATACGCAGAAGTTAAACAAAATTGAGAGCAAAAGAGCAAGGCGATTTTGCAAGCAATTTATGCGAGATTTGAGTGTGCACTCCTGAAGCTACTTGAACGAGATAGAAGAATCAGTCCCATTGTGTATTCCTTTTATTCTAGTTCAATTGTAGTAGGTGGTTTAAAATTGTACCTTTCAGCTTTCATAGAAGCAATTGTATTAGGTACCTAGAGTGTTCAAGTTATAAGCTAACTTGAAGTTGTCGCAACAGTTGAGGCTGTGTGCCACAACGGGATTAGAGTTAATCCTTAGGTTTACAAAGAGCTTTGTAAATGCTGTTTTGGCTCAGTGATTTTAGTGGAAGTTTGGGAAAATCCTACTGAGTAGTAGGTCGTGGTTTTTTCACCTTTTGAGCCAGGTGTTTTCCACGTAAAAATCTTTGTGTTCTTTATTTTATGTACTTATTATTCCGCAAACAGTAGTAGTTATTACACCTAGAAGAACCAGGTTCTTCTAGAGCGAAAATTGGGTACCACACAAATCAACCCCCCTCTTGTGTGGTATTGACGTTTAGAACATCAATTGGTATCAGAGCAGGTTATCCTTGAAGAGGTTAACACCTTAGGAAAAGATCAAGATGAGTGCACCATTTGGGAACTAGGAAGGGCAATCCACTGCTAGGCCTCCACTCTTCAATGGTCAGTACTATTCCTGGTGGAAGAACAGGATGAGAGATCATATCATAGGAGAGGACTATGAACTCTGGGACATAGTCACTGATGGTCCTTTGGCAACTACAAAGAAGAATGAGGAAGGAGTGGATGTGCCAATGACAAGAGCTGACTGCACTGCTGAAGATTTGAAGAAATGGGAGAAGAATGCCAAGGCCAAGAAATGGCTTGTGTGTGGACTAGGTCCGTATGAGTACAGAAGAATTCAAAGTTGTACCACTTCTAAGGAAATCTGGGACACTTTGCAAGTGGCTCATGAAGGAACACCTCAAGTGAAGAGGTCCAGAGGAACACTGATGTATTCTCAATATGAGAATTTCACCATGAAGGAAGGAGAAACCATCCAAGAGATATATATAAGGTTCACCACACTGACAAATGAACTTAAGTCTCTTGGAAGGATTATCCTTGAAGAAGACAAAGTTGAGAAGATTTTAACAAGGGTTCTGCCAGTCTCTTGGGAAAGCAAAATCACTGCTATTCAGGAATCAAAGAATATTGCTATCCTTAAGCTGGATGAACTAATTGGAAACCTTACTGCCTATGAACTGAGAAGGCAAACCATGAAAATGGATGCACCCAAGAAGGAAAGAAGTCTGGCTCTTAGAATTGCTGAAGGTTCAGATCTGGAGGATGCGGAAATGGCTATGATCACAAGAGATTTCAAAAAGTACCTGATGAGAGGAAAGGGTTCTTCAAGAGGTACAACCTTCAACAAACCAAGGGCTCCTGAGAAACAGACCAATGAGGGTTGCTACAAATGTGGTAAGACTGATCACATGATCAAGAATTGTCCTCAATGGGAAATTGAGTGGAAGAAGGAAAGGGTTGAACGAAGGAACAGGAAGAAGGAACAGGTTCAACCAAAAAGAAACAAAGGATCAACAAAGGCTATGGTTGCTGC